TTTTGTGTACTGTAGTTGCCAGCACTATAAGGCAGAGTGATAACCACTGAACTTCCAGGCTATTGCATAGAAGCCAGTTGTAAAAAAAAAGTGCATACATGGCTCTTTTTCAGACTGTATTTGTACCACAAGCCATCTTTTCAAAGCACAAGTTCTTAAACCTCACTGAAATTATTGCCCAGTGAACCAGACACTTTTTTGGCATGTACAAGTTCAAACTTCATATTCTTCTAGAAGTAAACTGCACCAGGAAACTTATATGCATTAAAATTATATAAAACTTTATGTTCCTCACTGCTTCCAAGAAAACTAAAATAATGTTTGCTGTGAACATGAAGGTGTTTTGTTACAAAAGATTCACCATAGAATATACTCTGTAACATTAAAAACACTTGCTGACCACTCACAGTAATTTTACTGCAGATGGGTGGAAGCTACAGGCAAAGTACCCTATGTCCCTTTAGCTTTACTAAGACAGGCTGGTGCTGCGTGCAGCGCTCCCCACCCGTGACCGCTGTTTCCACTGGACACAGCAGAATGAAGATCCTGGTGAATGGGACCTGGTGATCATGTGATTGCTATGCAATCACATGATCACAACGTTAGCAAAGCTGTTATGAATCAATCTGATTCATAACAGCTCTGCTTCTCTTCCTGGTTAGCTGTGATTGGCGCATAGCTGTCATGTGATACATGGGACCAATCACAGCACCCTTTACCATGTGACCAGCTCTAGCCAATCACAAATCACTATTATATTGAACTGTCATGAAACTAACTCATTCATGACAGTTCAAAGCAAGCTTTGCATTGTTCATGCAATGCAAAGTGTGGAAAAAAATAAAAAATTCCTGATCACCCCCCAGAGTAGTAGTACAATGTTACTATGGTAACATGTCAATACTTTGATAAAAGTATTTTAAAAAAAATAACAAAAAAGTAAAAAAAAAATAAAATAAAATACAATGTCATTAATACAGTGTCAGTACATAAAATTTTTCACTTGGGATCGGAGATCACCACCACGTGATCTCTAATCCCAGAGGACGCCATTTTTGGGGAAACGTGTCAGGCTGAGTCTGTGTGTAAACATTGAAAATAAAACTAGGAAAATTAGCATTTTCCAAAGAAGCTTTCAGATCTATCATTGGGGTAGCCATCTTCTTGAAGTTCAGATGAAGATGTGTGCTGGGACTTTCTCAATGCCAAGCAGGCAAGATACTGTCAAGGCTAGAAGATGTTCCCCTACTGAAGGAAACATCTCATCCACCAGCTGTAAAAGGGGTAGACTCCTTGTGCCACTCTGGTTAAAAAGGCCACAGAGGTCTTGTTATCCATTAACATCTTTACAGATGTCTGGTGCAGGAGATGAGCAAAAGCTTTCAGCATTTCCAATGCAGCCATGAGTTTGAGAATTGTTGGATTGACAAGGGATTGGAGTCCTTCAATTACCTTAAGCCTGATGAGACTAGTGTTCAAAGTAACAATGATCCAGTCTATAGAACTGAGAGACCTGTCCAGAGAGAGTCAAATTGCCTCAAGATGTCCACCAAGTCAGATCCTGGTGAAGAAACTGAAGCAAGGAAATTCTGTGATTTGTTGACACATGGTCTTAATGAATAGGAAAACTTGTCTGGAGACATCTCATATGCCACCAAACCCAGGGAACTATTGGAATGGCTGCTGTAAACATGCCAAGGACCACCATGCAAACTTCCAAGCTGAGAGGAGGGGTATTGATTATTCTGTGGACACAAGATATTATTTGTAAAGGTATCGTCTACTTTGAGTATGGCTTTGGTCGAGGCTCGTCAGCTTTTATGGATCACATCATGTCCGTGTACTAATGGGGGAGTATGACTTTTACCTGAGTCGTGTCAAATAGCATTCCCAGATATTTAATTTTATGCTGTCTAATAAATTGACTTTTCTGATAGTTCACAAGCCAAGACATGTCAAGGTATGAAACCCTAATGCTTTGTGATTGAGCAACTCTTGATGGGATCTTGCCAAAACCAGAATATCATCTAGGTAATGGCATATCCTTACATTCTGGATATGCAGAAGGACTATCACAAACACAAAGACCTTCAAAAAAGTTCTTGGGTATGTAAATAACACAAATGGGAGAAAAGTAGACTTTCAGTGTGGATTGAAGGTCATAAAGCACAAATACAGTGCATCCAGAAAGTATTCACGGAGCTTAATTTTTGCCACATTTTGTTATGTTACAGCCTTATTCCAAAATGGATTAAATGTATTTTTTCCTCAACATTCTACAAACAATACCCCGTAATGACAACATGAAAGAAGTTTGTTTTGAAATCTTTGCAATTTATTAAAAATAAAAAAAAACACATGTACATAAGTATTCACAGCCTTTGCTCGATACTTTGCTGAAGCACCTTTAGCACCAATTGCAGTATCAAGTCATTTTGAGTATGATGCTACAAGCTTGGCACACCTACTTTTGGGCAATTTCTCCCATTCTTCTTTGCAGTACCTCTCAAGCTCCATCAGTGTGGATGGGGAGAGTCGGTGCACAGCCATTTTCAGGTCTCTCCAGAGATGTTCAATCGGGTTCAAGTCTGGGCTCTGGCTGGACCACTCCAGGACATTCACAGAGTTGGCTTGTAGCCACTCCTTTGTTATGTGGGCTGTGTGCTTAGGGTCATTGTCCTCTTAAAAGATTAACCGTGGCCCAGTCTAGTCGGGAAAGTGAGTGTGATGATAATGGGATTATGGTCCGAAAGCACCATAGTTTTGTGGTGGCTTTCGTGAGGAGAGAAAGATCCCTTTGAGAGATGAAAAAGTAGTCCAGTCTGGAGTGTCGGTTGTGAGGGAGTGAGAAGTAGGTAAAGTCTTTTGTAGTAGGATGAAGGGTGCACCAGGTATCGTGGAGCAATAGGGATTGAAGTTGAAGTTTAATACACCGAAGGGCGTTATATGGTAATGCCGAAGTGCCAGTAGACGCATCAAGCAAAAGATGAAGCTGGAGGTTAAAATCGCCCCGAAAAATGAGAACGCCGGTATGAAAAGGAATCCGTTGAGTCACTACTGACTTGAGGAAGTTAACGTGTTTGGTATTCAGACAGTAGATATTCGCCAGCGTAACTGGCCTATTATGAAGCGTGCCTTTCAAGAAAATATATCTGCCCTCTTTATCAATCAAGGACTCAGCAATGTGAATAGGCAAACATTTCGATATGAGTATGGCTACACCTTTGGTTTTGGATTGAGTATTAGTTGCGTGGTAGATGATTGGGTAAGCTGGGTTTGTCAATTTCGGAATGTTATTTGATCGAAAATGTGTTTACTGGAGGAAAATTATGTCAGCCTTCCTTTTGCTTCTTCATTAAATGGATCATTTTTCGTGGACATTAAAGCCCCTATCATTTAGAGTGATCAGTTTCAGTGTTTTTGAATGCTTGGTTTGTTTTCGGTGAGCCATGAGTGTGGAAAACAGAAGTATCAGGACACAGTAAAAAAACAAAGCCCCAGTAATCACCAAGAGGAATGGGCACGGGTGGCCGGGAGGGGAGGGGGTACGAGACAAAAAAAAAAACAGAAAAAAGGAAAACATAGTATCAGAGGGGGACGGGGTGGATAGGTATGCGGAGGCAGGAGAGGAACCTATCCTGCCGATGGAAGTGAAAGGGGCTACCAGATATGAAAGTCGAATTCAGCATAAAAAAAAGAAAAACCCACCGCTGGGGGTGGGGGTGCCCTGTCAATGGGTATCCAAGAAAGGTAAGAGATTTGTGAATACTTGGGAGGTATGGGCCTCACCAGGAGAGACTGTAAGCTACAGAAGGGCATCCAGACACTGTTTAACATTATGCACATGCGTACAGCAGCAACGGGGATTGGAAAGGTCATTTAAGAAAATTACTGTAAATCATAGAGCAACCAGTTAAGTATAGTAACATAGCTATCAGGTCATAGCAGAATGAAATATGCAATAAATCTCAAACAGGTTATTACTGTGCGGTTTTTAGAAAGGACAGCACAAAAGACAAAATACAACAGGTGGAGTCTATTAAGCGCAACCCATGGGGAATGCCCATCACCATATCGTGGTAACAAGCCGTCACCATGTGACACATTGACTTTCAGGTATAAAAAACAAGCTACACATTTGATAGGTAAGTAAGGCGAATATCTATCAGCTGGGTGAGGCAGGGTATTGTAGATAGCTCCAGAGAGAGAACAGGAGAGAGGCCCAAACATAAAGATGAAAACTTATACAGAAAAACTGTAAAACAGTCCACTGGACTTAGTTGACTTTGGACCTGCCGCACTTTCCTGGGCATGAGGCATCCTGTTGAGGCCTGCAATGAGCCAGAGATTTTGAGGGAATCGTGACAGGGTGCCCTGCTGTCATCTGGAGAGGCAGAATCAGTGTTGGAAGGCACCCGATGTCTCTGTCAATGAAGCTGAAAATACATTCTGTCCTCAGGTGAAGAAGTGCGAGGGATAGAGCTGGGACAAAATTCACTGTACCATTCAGGGATGTGGGGTGATCGAATTTCCATCATTTCACAGAAGAGTGGAAGATCCTCAGGAACACGGAGTAGCGCCGTGCGACCAAGCGCAGTAATAGAGAGGTCAAATTGGAACCTCCATCTGTAGTGTATGCCACATGATCTAAGGATGTCCAATAGAGGGAGGAGTTCTCTACGGTGTTGCAGAGTTATGTTTGAAAGGTCCTGATAAATCATAATTTGAGTCCCATCATGAGTGATCTGTATTCTATTGCGTGCTTTGCGCAGAATATCCTCTTTCAGGCAGAAGCTATTTAGATTACATATTACATCTCTCAGCGAGTCTATCTCTCGCCTTTCGGCCACAGTGCACGGTGGATGCATTTTATCTCAATCACAGAGTCGGGGGGTCTGTCTAGAAGTCCATTATAGATATGCGTAAGCATGCTGCAGAGTTGATCTTGCTCAACAGATTCAGGGAGACCCCGAAGTCTTGGATTATTTATGCGCCCTCGGCAGTGGCATCACGAGGCAGGTGTGGGGGGGGTGCACGCCACATCGGGTGACACCTACCACACGGGGTGACACCGGATCCGCTACACAAAAAGGTAAGTTGTAAAGCAAGCTGAAGAACCCCGCAGGATGGATCTGATCCATCCGATCGTTGGCTTTCTTTACAACTTACCTTTTCGTGGAGCCGGTCCGGTGTCACCCCGTATAGGTTGCATGCCGATGATCCCCTCAGGATGGATCAGATCTGGGGATTGAGCATATTGGATCGGACTCCGATCCATTATGCTCCCCAATCCGCAGATCGATCCATCCTGAGGGGATCATCGGCATGCAGCGATACGGGGTAACACCGGACCCGCTCCACAAAAAGGTAAGTTGTAAAGAAAGCCAATGATCCCGCAGGATGGATCGGATCTGCAGATTAGGGAGCATAATGGATCGGACTCTGATCCATTTTGCTCAATCCGCAGTTCCAATCCATTCTGCTGGGATCGTCGGAGGGGGTGTCACCAAGTGTTATCACACCGGTGACTCCAACCCTAGGGACACCCCTGGCCCTCGGTTGTTCAGGTCTTCTATATAGTGGTGTAATTCTTGCATCTGGAAAGTATGAGCATCTGCGGTCTTAAACAGATTGTGTATGTGAGCAACCTGGTGGCTAGTGATCATTTCCACTTCTTGTACTCTGTCAGCAATAGCCTGTATATTGTGGCTCAACTCTGTAATAGTCACTGTACGTGTCCTCTTAATGTCCGCAGCTAGATTATGCAGGTCACTCAGGTTCAGTGAGCACTGTGTAGTGTGCCCAAGTGGGGAATGGGATTCCTGCTCGGATGGGGACTGCATCGTGATATCATGTCTCATGACTGGGGACTGGATCGTGGTATCATGTGATCATGGTGATCATGTCTCATGGAGACATGCTGGAGGGCTGGCTGCCGCCATGTTCCTGTGCTGTGCGCGGAAGAGCTCTGGGATTTGCTTACCCAGCTGTGTCCCCAAGTCCCGCGGGACCTACGAGTGGGATGTGGAGCTGCCACGGGAGGATTTCCACATTGCAGGGGCATCTGGATCCCAGCTGGCACCAGTGATAATCCCCTTGAGCGGCCATCTTGGACTGTGGCTCGGACACGCCCCCCGACCATCTATCAGTTGAATTCAGTGTCACATCAATGTTTGTGTTGCATCAATGTTTGGGCTTTCTTGATCTGGCTCACCTTAAAATTCCATCTCATTCTTTCTGTATAGGTGTTGCTACTGCTGCAGTGCAGTTTGGATTTTCAGAATCTGTTATTAAACGGATTGGAGGGTGAAGGTCAAATTGCTTATGCTCTTATGTCCAGCCTAACTTTTTAATTTGCAGATTCCTCTACCAACAACGTGTGGATCATTGGCCACTCCTTTGTCTTGTGGGCCCATCATAGAGCCCCTCCCAAAATTTATGGTTCTAATTTAGGTTTCCCTGCTACAGAATTTCATGTATGGTGGTACTGTAACCGTGGTATGTAATGGACTGATTTATGTGCAGTATTATCCATGCTGGATTTTCTTATTCTTGGCCCATCCCTCAGGTCATCATTTTCCATCTGGCTGGTAACAATATTGGGCACTTGAAGATTTTAGACATTTTTGCACATATCAAACTTATTATGTATACATTTTGGTTCTGCCCAATACTGTCCTGGTCTTTTTGAAGATCGTACCTCACTTAAAGTGGCTGAAGTGCTCAGAATTTAGACACATTGATAAAATACTTAAATGCACTAATAGGTTGGTGGAGAAGTTTATACCTTGATTAAATGGTATTTAATTTCTCCACATTGACCTGAAAGGTGAGCTAAACGGTTTTTATAGCTCTGATAGTACTCATTTCTTGGATATTGCCGTAGACATTTTTAACCTAGATTTACAGTCTATTATCAAAATGGCCACAGTCTAGGTGGGGGTGCCAGGCTCATTGTGAACTTAGCCTGGCATTTGGGACAGTAAAAGTTGTGTTCTATGTTGGATAACTTGAGCTTTAATAGCGGATTTATAGAAGTTATATTTAAATATAAATAAAGTGTTGGTCATGTTATATATTTAATAATTAAAATATTGCCTATAATAAAGGGCCACAGCCATTTCGATCCAAAATTGTTGTTTGGCGCTAATTCATTATTATTATTTATAGTTGATTTATTTAGGTCTGCCTACGGTCCCATACAAAGTAACTGTAGTTCTCCTTTAAGATTGTTAACAATTACAGGCAGCAATACACTCCCCCTAAACCTGCCAGGACCAAACAAATTGTATATTGTGGTTCAGCCAATTGGTAAATGTAGCCCATGTTCACTTTAAAGCTGCTCCATTTTTGATTATACAGTATAAATGTAAGGATTAGCAACTACTATCAGCTGTATGTCCCCACAAGTTCCTCCTGTCTAATCTATGTATCAGGCCAGACATTCTCAGTTGCCTAAGTTAAAAAAGAAATATGTATACTGTGTATAATACTGACTGAGTGATATATTTGTTTAAAACATAATTAACATCCAAAATAAAATATTTATTGAGCCTTAAAAATAGGTTTATAAGTGCATATGCAAAACAAATCTATATCTGAAGGATTCACACATTTTGTTTCATCTTTTCACCATCTGCTTCCCCCTCTGCTAACATTGCAACAGGCTGCTATGGCAACACAATACACTCATATCCTCAGCTACCACCGACATATAATTCACTCTGTTCAACTGGTTACTGTTATTTTCATCTTTAACATTTTCATGTGCAGTAGCTAAATTGTAATGTCTTTCACAAAGAACAAAATGGACATAAAAACTCATCTAAACCTAATTGGTTACTTGACCTATAACATTTTAACGGTGAAACTTTTTACTACTAAAAGAGTCTGCCAAGGGAAAATAAGTGAGGTACAAAATGCAGGCCCAAACTCTCGCAACTCCTTTTGAAATCAAAGCAGATATGCTCCTACATGCTCTACGGTGGGGTCAGAAAATGTTGCAAGGGCATGACTATCAGCCAGGGGCAGACTGACAAGTCATGGGGCTCCTGGGCAATAGGGGATCGTGGGGCCCCTGTGTCCTTGCCCAAACTCAAAAAAGCCTATGAAAAAGGTACTAGGGGCATCTCATGGGGCCCATTACTGACCCCGGGCCCTCGGGCAGTGCCTGAGTTTCCAAATGGCCAGTCCACCCCTGCTATCAGCATTTTTGTTCTAATTAATAAACCTGTAGCTTGTCAATCAGCTGGTCACACGTAGCTTTGCAGACTGTCTTCTAGCATCCCATTGTGTGCTGCAGCGTCTTAGAATGGGAGCATGTGAAACCCAAATAAAGAAGGATTTGGCTTACTCCATTATTTTGTATGCTCTTGCATCACATGGCAACTGGATTTGAGACCTGTCTGGACTGCCATTCTGACATTATAACACCTATGACTACTGCATATAATAACAACTTGTCGAGGCTAGGGACCCGCACATTTTTGTGAGCTGTGCAACACATATCATAGTCTGTTTTTAGAAAATGTTGGAAAGAGAATCAAATGCTATAGATTACTGAGGAATCTTTTTTAAAATTCAAAATCTCCATGTAATATTTCTGACTCTTTAGTTTGCACTCAACTGCTGCTATTTAGTTTGAAAAAATCTGATTTTAAAATACCCTACTATAATGGGCTTTGAAGTCTGAGAAAAGAATAACTCATTATTTTAGCTTACGTAAGTTAAATAACAATGCCATACTATATACTGTAATAAAGAAAAAATAATTCATATGTGATTATATGTACCTCTATAATACTTATATTTGGTCTTCTAAGAAGAGCATTTAGCTTGCTTAAAGGATAAGTTCACCTTTGGGAACATGTGATATGTTCCATCTGTTTTTAGGGTGGAGCATGTAACATGTTCCCATAGCAGCAGCCAGCGCCCGCCTCTCCCCCCTCCCTCTGACATATAGTACGGGGAGAAGTGTCCCCGTACCAGGTACCAGGGGCGGACTGACCATTTGGAAACTCGGCACTCCCCGAGGGCCTGGGGTCAGTAGGGGGCCCCCGTGAGATGCCCCTGGTACCTTTTTCATAGGCTTGTTTGAGTTGGGCAAGGACACAGGGGCCCCATGATACCCTATTGCCCAGGGGCCCCATGAGTTGTCAGTCCACCCCTGCCCCGTACATTATGCACAGGATGGTATATTTATATTAGTGTAACATATACATACTTTTCATTTGCTTTTTTGCAGCTTGTTTTTTATAAGGAAATGGGTTTATAAAGGGATATACATTTTAACTGGCTTTTTTCATTATAAAAAAATCTAATGTATGACTAAAATTTTTAACATAGATACAAGGGCTGGATTTGTTTGATAAATTACTACTAAATTATTTTATATTTAGAAAAGAAAACTCATAGATTCATTTACACATTGATAATAAATACAAATAAGATGAGGAATAATTAAAGCATAGTGTAATTGTCTTATGAAGAAACTGAAAATAAATTACTGTATCCAATTAAACAGACCTTATATTTAATTTAACACAATCAACTAATCCAAGTAAATGAACAATATAATAAATTGCATTCATAATTTATTATATTAGCCAGGGAGTATATACCCAACTGAATATCAGTTTAACACTTTACCCTCATGATTAAAATAAAATATTTGTGTTTCTGTATTTTGCCAATTTTTATGGGCCAAAATAAATAGCTTTAATTTTGTGCTGCTGATTGACTTACCCTTTTGAAATCAATGTGCTGTAAATCATGTAACTGTCAGCAAGCAGATAAATAACTGAGTAGCATGATGTCAAGAGAATCTATAGCTTTGCCCATTTAAAATGACAGTGACAGGTTATAGTAATGGGGTGCCCCACTACATGTACTTACCAATGCCAGCACCATTCTCCAATGCCCCTTTGTTTGCAAAGGAACAGTGTGTCTAAATCTTGTATAAACTCTGAGAATACACAGGGTTTACTGACCTTCATCCCTCACACATATGGCTTTGTTCAGGCCTGGTGGTTGTCAACTCAGACTTGAGCACTGCTTTCTGGAAAACTGGAGATGATTCATGCCCCCCCATTACTCATAAACCGGGCCATGGATAAGGGGGTACCACCAGTTCTCCTGCCCTATATGGTTCTCTCTGCACCAGCTGAAATCTGGCTTCTTCTCTCTCCCTTCTGCTGGCTTTCAGCTGCTGTAGAGAGAGCCATACAGGGGATCGGTTCCAGTAATTGCCCCTTCCTTTTCTGAATGAACACAGTAAGTGATCAGTACTGATCACTCACTGTGTTCACTCATAACTGAAGCATAGTAAACAGTTGTTTTTTTTTTTTTTTGGGGGGGGGGGGGCTGCCAGGTTGGCTGTATGGGGCCCCATGGCCTCTGTTAGCAGTCCTGCTCTAAATACCTGGATATTTTTTAGCATTCCTGCCAGTGAGTGGTAGGGGTCTTCAGCAAATACTGTATGTGTAGTATATTTCCCTTTTAACATATTGCTGCACATAGCTGTATGACATGATACATTTGTACATGTACCAAAATGCAGCTGGGTATTGTAGTAGCAGCATTGTTAAAATGTTGTCCTTTTATCCCCATGTTCCATTGAAGCTCCACTGTGTATTACTCTAATCCAAGTTCCACCTGACACTATTTCACGTAAACCAACCTATATAAGAGTGCAGAGATCTGCTCATGCACATCGATACGTGCCCCATGCGGCATAGGTTTGCAAGCATACTGGCCACTAGCAGTGGCAAAAAATAGACTATTTAAGGTTTATGTAAGTACTCTGAAGGACCAGTGCTGAAAACTTTTCAGCAATTTAGCTGTGATCTGCAACCCGAATCTCTGCCTGTCACCAACTTCCTCCTTGATCCCTCTTTGGCTTTTTTGCTTGCTAGCATGTTCATGTTGGCAATCCTTGTTTGTTTCCTGACTATGATCCTTAGCTGTTCTGATACATAACTGCCCTGTAATTACTGATCCTTCCCATATGCTGACTTCGACCAGCTTGATAATTCTTCATCTGATTGTCACTGACCTCAGCCTGTTAAATCATCACAATCCAGTCTGTGACCTGAAATCACCTTGTGTCTCAATCAGTATGCATTACTGACCAATCAGGTAATTTGAGCTTAGCACATATTATTTAATCAAGTGTGGTTTCTTAACCACTTGACCTCCAGAAGATTTTACCCCTTTCATGACCAGGCCATTTTTTTGCTATTGAGCACTGTGCTATTTTAACTGGCAATTGCATGGTCATGCAACACTGTACCCAAATGAAATATATACTATTTTTTTTTCACAAAAAAAGTGTTGGGACAGAGTTCACCTGCACTGTCGTTCTCTGGGCTGATAGCTGCAGTTCCGGGGATCACCAGCAGATGTCACCCAGCAGCCAGCAGGTTCCTGCAATCTGTTCCACCTGGCCCCAGCTGCTGGGAGGGTACTTAACCACTTCAATACCGGGCACTAATACCCCCTTCCTGCCCCGGCCAATTTTCAGCTTTCAGCGGTGTTGCATTTTGAATGACAATTACGCGGCCATGCAACACTGTACCCATATGACATTTTTAGCATTTTTTCACAAAATAGAGCTTTCTTTTGGTGATATTTAACCACCACTGAGTTTTTTATTTTTTTGCTAAATAAAACAAAAACACCTGAAACCTTTGAAAAAAAATGCATTTTCTTTGTTTCTGTTATAAAATTTTGCAAATAAAATGTCTTCATAAATTTAGGTCAAAATGTATTCTGCTACATTTCTTTGGTGAAAATAATAAAAATAATAATAATTATAATTTAATTTGTATTTTTTTTTTTATTTTTCTATTTTTTTTTATTATTTTTTATTAATTTTTTTTTTTACTATTTTTTTTTTCAACACACTGTGACCAAAGCAATACAATGTTACCATAGTAACATTGAACTTCTCTGGGCAAGTGATCAGGATTTCCTTTTTTTTAACACATTATGGTTGCTAATTCCAATGTATTTAATTGATATTTGCAATCATTGTTACTGAATAAAATTTGTTAATTCAGTCTTTTGTTGTGATTAGCTGTGATTGGGCAAAGCTGATCACATGATAAAGATGGGCTATGAATGGCCCTGTCTGTACCATGTGACTGCTTTGACCAGTCACAGCTAACAACATAATTGTATACAATGGATGGCATGACAGTAAGCTATCCATTTTATACAATTGACAGGTGATCTGCTGTGATTGCTGCCAGTGGTCACATGACACTAGCAACAGGCTGGTGTAGTGATATGTCATTGGCTGTGTGCCGTGGATGCAGCCAGTGACAGATCGCGCCACTGCGTCGATCCGTGGCCGCGTGAGCGGCTCATTTTGGCAGGACATCATATGACACCGGTCACAACAGCGAGTGTCCTGCCTGGCCGTTAATCTTCTGTAGGCCAGGCAGGAAGGTGTTAAGTCCCATCTCTGCAATTGTTTCTTGCCTCAGTGTTTTGATTGCCTTCCTTGTTGCTTCATGTCTTGTATATGTTTTGTATATATTGTATATTAGTTTTTGTTTTCTGTTGCTTAGGCATTTCTGGTTATGGGTCATTTTATGCTTGCTATTTGCTGGTGTGTGGTTATCTTTTTCACTGCAAATAAATCTCACTTTAAGCGCTAGTCTACAGGGCACTTATACCCCCTTCCTGCCCAGTCCAATTTCCAGCTTTCAATGCTGTCGCACTTTGAATGAAAATTGCGCGGTCATGCAACACTGTACCCATACGAAATTTTTATCATTTTTTTGTGACAGATTTATTTTGGTGGTATTTAATCACCTCTGGGTTTTTTATTTTTTTTCTTAAACAAACCAAAAACCACTGAAAATTTAGAAAAAAAAAGTTTTTTCTTAGTTTTTCTTATAAAATTTTCTCCTTCACTGATGTGCGCTAATGAGGCTGCAGTGATGGGCACTGATAGGCTGCACTGATGGACACTGATAGATGGCACTGATGAGGAGGCACTGATGGGCATTGACAGGCATCACTGATGGACTCTGAAACATGGCACTGATATATGGCACTGATAGGCAACACTGATAGGTGGCACTGATAGGAGGCACTGACTGGCAGGAGGTGGCACTGACTGGGCACCGATAGGTGGCACTGACTGGCACTGATAGGCACTGACTGGCACTGACTTGCACTGATAGGTGGCACTGATTGGCAGCACTGATAGGTGGCACTGACTGCATTGTGGGTGACACTGAAAGGCAGCTCAGATTTGCACTGATATGTGGCATTGATGTGCATGGGTAGGCACTGATATGTGGCATTGATGTGGCACTGATGGGCACTGCCACGAGGCACTGATGAGCACTGATACAAGGCACTGATGGACACTGACAGGTGGCGCTGCTGTGGCTACACTGATCATCGGGTCACACTGACCATCAGTGCTCTGATGATCAGTGTACATGTCCCCTCGGCGGAAAGCCGATTACCGCCTCTCCTCTCGAGCTGTCAGTGTGACAGCTCAAGAGGAGAGAAATGCCGATAACCGGCATTTCCCTGTTTACATGTGATCAGCTGTGATTGAACACAGTTGATCACATGACCGAGCCAACATCTTTGGCTCTTTCCATGATCGGTGATCTGCTGTGTCCCCAATCGCCGCGATGCGCGCTCCCTGAGCCACGCATGTGCAGTGAGAATGGGAGGACGTCATATGATGTCCTCCCAGAACGAGAGAACCACCTTGCGTCCGTCATATTACTATATGGTGGGCGGGAGGTGGTTAAAGAAATATTTATATGGTCTTGTCCCTGTTTTCCTTGTGTAGTACACAGGTCTGGTCATCCCAGCTTCTGACTCCTGACATGGACGCCCACTAACGACCAGATCAGCTGCACCTTGGAACTGGGAGCCATTTGCTCTGAGCATTTGCTTTTCTTTTGTCAAGATGCTTCTAGTGGAGGTTATTTGTCATGTGAAATTAGCAATGGAAAGTTAAGATCTTTGCTGCTAGATTTTGAAAAATTACCCCAGTGAAAAGCTGTTGGAATGCATTCAGGTAACACATACTTTAGGTGATCAGGGCAGATTTTCATCTAGTGAAATACAGACTTTGGTTCAGATTTGTTCTGTATTGACTTCATCTGCTACATCTCATGGCCATGATGTTTTTTCTCTTAATATGCCTCAATCTTTCATATGGCTGCTGGAAAAATACACAGATTACTTTATTGCATACTATTCAACTTGTTCACAACAAGTGCTGTTAGATTGCGTTGCTGCTGTGTACTCTTTGAGCAAGGAAAATGCAAATTGACCTTAGGGTACTTTCACACAGGTGTTCTTGTTTTTTTTTTTTCATCAGTCCAGTCACGTTTTTTCAAAGAAAAACAACAGATCAGTTTATATCAGTTTTTTCATCAGTTTCTCGTCATTTTCTGTCAGTTTCTGGTCAGTTTTTACATCAGCTTTTTAACATCCTTTACCAATTCAAAAACAGATTAAAAAAACAGTTCTGTTCTGTTTTTTATTATGGAAGAAAAGAGGCTTTTCTTCCATTAAAAAAAATGTATGTTAACGAATACGGACATTAACGGATGTAAACGTATGATCATTCGTTTACATCCGCTAGTCCATAATACATGGGTGTCCATTTTTCATCGGACATAAACGGACAGATCAGGAACGGGCACACAGAACCGCCCGTGTGAAAGAACCTTTAGTTCAGCCTCTGCTCCAAGCCTGGTCAGATATCCTATCCCCAGTGTTGGATGACCCACACAAAGTCAGATCTGCCCTTAAACATCAATAATTTCTTCCTTTTTTACCCTTGGCAACCACAGATGCTAGTGAGTGTTCTTTACCTCATGTAGATCAGTACCTTTATCAGTAACCACACTTCTTGTAATCCATTGAAGGCTCTCCCTATAGTATCATTACTCATAACTTCTCAGACTCCTTCCTCTGCTTCTGTTACCCTTTTTCTCTAAGCCTCCCAGTACTGTTATTACTTTTTCATGAGCAGTAAACTCTGCTCAGCACCATTCTGCATGACTCCAGCATCTAAACCAAAAAAGTAACAAAAGTTTTCTCCTGCTCATTCAATCTGATACTATCCAATGCTGCCTCAACCATTGTTCAGCCAGTTCCAGATTCCATGCCACTTGCTGATGGGGTCCACTCTCTATGCTGCCTGATGATAGGATTAACTTCTCCTCCATGCTGCCTGATGATGGGGTGCACTCCTCCATGCTGCCTGATGATGGGGTGCACTTCTCCTCCATGCTGCTTGATGATGGGGTGCACTCCTCCATGCTGCCTGATGGGGTGCACTCCTCCTCCATGCTGCCTGATGGGATTCAGTCTGCCTCTATGCCTGCTGATGAGGTTCAGTCTGCCTATATGCCTGCCACTGGTGATCCACTGCCTTCTGCTAAGCCTGCCGCTGGTGACCTGCTTCCTTCTGCCAAACCTGCTGCTGCCTTCAGCCAAGCCTGCCTCTGGTGACCCTGTCCTCTGTCCTCTGCCCCAAGCCTCTGCCAAGCCTCTGGTGACCACTGTCCTCTGCCAAGCCTGCCTCTGGTGATCTGCTGTCCTCTGCCAAGCCTGCCTCTGGTGACCTGCTGTATTCTCCCAAGCCTGCATCTGATGACCCACTGCTTGTTGTCAGGCCCACCTCTGATCTGCAGTCTGCTGCTAAGCCCTTTTCAGAGGACCTGCTGTTTGCTGCTATGCCTTTCTCAGGCAATCCCCTGTCTTTTTCTATACCGGACTATGCCAATTTCCTACCTGCTGCCCTGCTGGACTCTGTTGACTTTGTTAAGCCCCCAGCTCCTGTTGGAGCAGGGGAGGACTGACAACTCATGGGGCCCCTGGGCAATAGGGATCATGGAGCCTCTGTGTCCTTGCCCAAACTCAAAAAAGCCTATGAAAACGGTACCAGGGGCATCTCATGGGCCCCCTACTGACCCCGGGCCCTCGGACAGTACCCGAGTTTCCAAATGGTCAGTCCACCCCTGTGTTGGAGCTGTGGTTTCTATTTTAAGGATTAAGTGCAAAAATGTTTTATATTCGGAAAACGTTTCCACTGGAGTGGCCTGGAAAGGTTTGAATTTGGGTTTGCAGTGATGTACTGTTGGGCATAAACATTACTTTTGTCCATAATTAAATTATAGAAGTCTTCAGTGAAAAACAGCTCATAAAGTCAAGTGGTGTTGTTAACCACTTGCCCTCCAGAAGATTTACTCTCCTTCATGACCAGGCCATTTTTTTGTGATACGTTGCTGCGTTAATTTAACAAACAGTCATGCAGCACTGTATATAAATGAAATTTTTTCCACAAATAGAGCTTTCTTTTGGTGGTATTTGATCACCTCTGTGTTTTTTTATTTTTTGTGCTATAAATAAAAAAAGACCAACAGTTATAAAAAAAAAAAAACAATATTTTTGACTTTTTGATAAAACCTATCCAATAAAACATTTTTAAAAATACAATTTCCCCATAAATTTAGGCCAAAATGTATTCCACTACATGTCTTTGGTTAAAGAAAAATCCCAATAAGTGTAGATTATTTGTTTACATGAAAGTTATAGCATCTTTAAATGGAAGTTTATATACTGGAAGTTTTTATTTATTTTTTTAATACTAGTAATGACAATGATCACCTCACCAGCTTGTACTGCACTGTTGGTGTTGGCTACTTCACCATGAAATACTGCCGTGCTGGTGTCTGAAAGGCCAGGATGTACTACTTTACTGGTGCTTGCCAGATCACCAAAAAGTAGTGAAGTGCTAGTACTTGCGCCCTGCTGCATCTGAGCATAATTGTGCATTTCTAGCACTTAAGAAATGCATGGGATTGGGAATGCCTGGTTTTAGCAGGGACCTCTCATGTGAGCTAGCTATTAGGGTGCCGATGCTTTCTACAGGTTCATATTATGAGCCTGATTCTGACAGAGAGGCTTCCCCTTTGCTCCCATCTGTCATGCTGAGAACCCCGTAGGCCTCTTCACTAGTATGCCTTTTTTTTGGAGATTTTGGGTACTAACTTTACAGGTACCTTGTAGTGACTATAGTAAAAAGAGCTCTTGACTCTCACAATTAGGCACTGTTAGCGTGATAGAAATAAAATGAACTACTAGCGCTAGCAGAGATCAGGCATGATCTTTTTAAAACTTCGGTTTTGCAGACAATGTATCAGAGGTGGCAGTGATCAAAAAAATTATACTGTTGCTGCACTTGTTGGGAAGGATGGTCTAAGCACAAGTGCTGGCATTGATCAGGGTTGATCCTGCTAGTTTTTAGGGACACAAAATACTATTGAGAACACTAGTATAGTTCTGATCAATACTATTCCATATAGACACTATGCTGGTAATCGCAATGACCCGCTACCTATAGTGCAACTGCAATAGTGTGGCTGGCAATCTAGCACTAACTGACACTGTCTGGGATGGACACTAACTGACACTGAGGTTAGCTAGTGACACTAATGCAGTGATCAGTGATAATAATATACACCGATACTGCACTAATGACACTAATGGGCGACAGGGCAATCAAAAGGTTACCTGTTGAAGGCAATCAAGGGGTTAAATGTAAAAGACCAGCGTTGAAAAGACTGTGGCTTAAATCAATATAAACCTTACATAGAGGTATGTCTTTATTGTGCAACTTCATAAATTTTGTCCAAACAACATCCAGAGCTGAGGCACACCCAGGCTGTTAAAATTAAATACCCACTTATCTGCGTCCCCAGACCGGGAAGAGATGGTATCCTCAATGTGTTCCTGCACCAGTCAGGGATCGCGGCACTCCGGAAGTGACTTCACTGCAACCGGGAAGGAAGCGGAAGTGGGGCTCTGGGTGAGGAATGTAAGCTCGGCTGATAGCCCTGACAATGCGTTTCATGCACATGTGATTTGTCAAGTATCCCTCTCCCTGAATGAATAGAGCTCAGGGGATAGTACAGAAGACAGAGGAATAGCCATAGATTTCTGGGAGAGGAGGCAAAGCAAGAGCTGATAATGAATAATGAGGGAAGAAAGAGAAGGCAAAGTGGTGGCTACACCTGAATTGTGAGTAGGGAGTAATAAAAGTGGAAGCAATAGAAAATACATAATGACAACTAGTTTTGGACCAGAGTTCTGGTTGAGTGTGATGGTGTGGAGTCAATAGTACAATTGAGGTACTGGAGGTGATGCACTGGCTGCAAGAAACCATCTGCCAATTCAGAGTGGGAGTAGGTACCTTCATGAGGATGGGAAAAAAACAGGTGTGTGCTAGATCTTTATTTCTTTCAGGAAGATATATGTTCTTCTATGCACTAACAAAGTTATTTTAATTTCAATTTATTTTACTGGTCATTTTGATATCTCTTAATCATTATGATATCTCATTACCATCTCATTACCACCCCCCACAGTTACTACCTTTTGTACCACTAGCCTCTCTCTCCTAGATTGTAAGCTCCAAGGAGCAGGGCCCTCCTTTCCCTCTTGTATTGAACTGTATTGTTGCTGTATTGTCTCCCGTTATATTGTAAAGCGCTGACCAAACTGTTGGCGCTATATAAATCCTGTATAATAATAATAATTATCAAATTGGGTAACTACCATCATGTCTTAAATAGGTAATTTATCAAGACATTTTGAACGTTTAGGCCTG